ATGTAGACATACCAGAAAAAGCAAGAGAAACAGAGACAAGGGCTGATGGTCAGAAGACGCCCTGCCCTGTGACATCTACACTGACTTAGCAGCCTGGGTATCAATAAACCAGGATTAAGAAAATACCATTAGAGAGTACAGTATTGCAATCTGGACAAGAAAAGAAGACAGAGCATAACTAAGTTTCTAGAACTTGATTTAACAACTGGATTCAAGGATTTCTCATAGCAGGAGAGAGGAGGGCATCACAGAGAACTTCATGAGCACATTGAAGACTGAAGAACAGGTGATACAGCTATTTTGGACAAGGTAGTCACAACTGACTTATGTCCCCAATGGGTTACACAGCAATACCTTTTGGGCCATAACAGGAAAATAAAAGCCAGACTATTTCATTTTATTTTTATAACATGGAGAACTACTTGGACACTATCGAGCAGCATTTTTTACTAAACAAACTATTCTTCCAGAAGAACTAAATAAATGGAAATATATCCCATATCCATGGATTGCAATATTTAATACTACTAAGATGGCAATACTCCCCCAAAGTTGATCTACTCATTCAATGTAAACCCAATCAAAACACAGCTACCGTGTTGGCAGAAATCGACAACCTGATCTTAAAATCCATAAGGAAATACAAGGGATCCAGAAGAGCCAACACAATCTTGAAAAAGAAGAACAAAGTTGGAGGACTCACATTTTCTGACTTCAAAACTTACTCCAAACCTGCAGTAATTAAGACAGTGGGGTACTGGCATAAGGATAAACATACAGACATTGGAACAGAATTGAGAGGTCAGCTATAAACCCTCATATTTATGTTTATTGAATTTTGACACAGGTGCCAAGACAATACAGTGAGAGACAGAATAGTTTTCATAACAAATAGTGCTGAGAACTCTGGATCTCCATATGCAAAAGAATGAAGTTAGACCCATACCTCACATCATATTAAAATTTTACTCAAAATGGGTCATAGAACTAAACGTGAGAGCTAGAAGTATAAAACTCTTAGAAGAAAACACTGGAATAAAACATCAGAATAAAGCTGGAGTTGGGCAACGTTTTCTTAGATAACACCAAATGGACAAAAGAAAATAATACATACATTGTACTTCAACAAAATTTTTTAAAAATTGCATTTCAAAGACAGCTCACCATATCTGAGAAAATATTTTCAAATCATACACCTAATAAGGGAATTGTATCCAGAATATAATAGCTCAGAATATAACTCAAAAATAAAAACCCAAATAACCCAATTTTAAAACAGGTAAAGGATTTAAAGCCTTTATCCCAAGGAAGATAAACAAATGGCCAAGAAGCTCATGGAAGATGCTCAGCGTCTTTCTCATTTGTGAAACGCAGATCAAAACTACAGTGAAATACCATTTCATATCCACTTGTAGCCAAATATTCTCAGCAACATTATTCATAAAAGCCCATAAGTGGACATCTCAAATGTCTATCAGCTGATGAATGGACAAACAAAACATGGTATATCTGTACAATGGAATATTACAGACAATTTTAAAAAAATACCAATTGATGCTATTATATGGATTAAAAAAAAAAAAAAAAACACACCAATGTGTCCCTGGGTGGATTCAAACCGCCAACCTTTTGGTTAGTAGCTGATGGCTTAACCAAAAGTAGCACTACCCAGGGACTCCAGAAGAGTACCAAACCAGGAACAAAAAAAAAAAAAAAACAAACCCATCGCCATCGAGTCGATTCCAGCTCATAGCAACCCGATAGGACAGAGTAGAACTGCCCCATAGGGTTTCCAAAGAGTGACTGGTGGATTCAAACTGCCGACCTTTTGGTTAGCAGCCATAGCTCTTAACCACTTAGACTTTGAAAACGTGACTCTGAGTGAAAGAAACCAGGACCAAAGATCACATATTGTATGATTCCACTTATATAAGATGTCCAGAAGGCAGATACGTAGAAAGAGAAGGTAGATTAGTGTTCGTCAAGGGAGGGGGGAGGGGAGAATTGGGAGTGATTTTTGGAGTCATGGAAATTTTCTGGAATTATATAGTGCTGATGGTTGTACAACACTGTAAGCATATTTTTAAAACCACTGAAATGTACACATTAAAATGGTTAAAATGCAAAACTCTGTCTTATATGAATTTTATCTCAATGAAAAAAAAAATTAAACTAGGCAGAAAAAATAAAAAAGCCCTAGATGGCGCTGTGTCATCCGAGTTTCTTGAGGTCAGACACACACCTTCACCTCAGGTGCCCTAAAGCAAAAACTGAATCGTCGTAAGCTCACAGGCACATTTTAAAAAACTGGGTTCCTACTGTATGTACAGTTTTGTAACTTAGTTCCTTTTACTTTAACATTATGTTGTGAATATCTTTCATGTCATTAAAAAGATTTTGAAAATTTTTAAAAATTGGTTAACTAAATCTTGTTGCATTCGGACCCTGCAATAATCCTCAGCCATTAGAAAATCTGAGATGGCTCTATAGACCCTTATACAGAAATATTTCCAAACGATTATGTCAAAAAGACAAAACCCTGACAGGTATTTTTCTGTATAAGTTGAAACGAGCAACAATTTTAATTTCAACAAGCTCTTGCACAATGCTTACTATACTCCAGGCACTGTTCCAGAACTGTTACAAATATTAATTCGTTTTGTCTGGATTTCCGCACCATTTTACAAATGAGGAAACTGAGTCATGAAAATAGCTCATTCAGGTGGCACACTGAGTGGCAGAGTCAGGAGGGAAGCTGGGGGCTACAGTGCCTAGTTCCTGCTCCCCCTGCACCAGCTGCCTCCTACCGCAGACACGCAGGTGTGCTCATACGTGCAGAGAAGCCTCTGGAAGATCAACCAGAAACCACAGAGTGTGCAGTCCCTGAGGGGAGGAAGACAAGGGCTGAGGACGGGGAGGACCTTTGCTTTTCATTGCTGTTTAAAATTGAAAAATGCACTTATCATAAACATAACATAAAACAATGGAAAACTTCAGCTCTGCCAAAATGAAAAAAATGTAAGCATAAAAAAATCAAAGGTTAAAAATAAAGCATTAAATACTATTATAAAAGAAAAATAAACGAACCATTAGGATAAAAATTGTGAAAAAAAAACTCCCATAATATATGAACAATGCGAGTAATCAAATGACACCGTGACAAAACCTCTATAAACTCATATCCAATGCAAGATTTTTAATATTAAATGTTTTCAACGAAAACTTTGTATGAAGATGTTTTAAATGTTTTTGAAAGGTTTTAAAAATCATCTACTGTACAAAAGTAGGAACATGAAGATAAATGGCGAGAAGCATCTATGTTTTCATAATTTAAAAGTCCTTTGAACTTTTTGAAACCAATAGTTCCAACATACATCCTACACAAACCCGTGCAACTATACACACATTCCTATTTAAAAGCAAACGCTCCCCCCCCAAATATGACAGCCCCCAAATGCTACTTTATAACTCGCTTTATTCTCTAACACGGACCATGCAACGTCGCTGTTTGAGCGCGTCCCCGCCCGACCTGCCGCAACAGGCGTCGCCGCCTCCTTTGCGCCTCATTGAGGACCTTTCCAAATGTCCGTTTTCACTCAAAACCACAGTGGAAACACGGTCCGCGCTCCTGGACTCATCCCAGGACGATGCACACGGAGGGAAGCCGGGTCACAGAGGGTCTGCTCGGCAACGCCTGAGGCCAAACTTCTCAAAACAGGGACCGGGTTCGGGGGGGGGGGAGTGTGGGGGCGGAGGCGAGACCGGAGGAGTCAGTTGGGGCAGGGCGGCTCAGAGCCAGACGCAGAGCACAGCGTCGTCTGGAATAAGATTGTGAAAGACACACAGACCCTCCACCAACTAGTGCAGTCCCCACACTTGGACATGTATTGACCCCCGAAGCCCGCTGGGATGGTACCGAAGGCCCCTCACAGCCCCCCACCTGCATGCCCACTTCCACAGACTACAGCTCAGACCATCACGCGGCCGACAGGGCCGACACAGACGCCGGCTGAAGGCTGGCAGGAATACATGAACCCGCTGGACACCTCGTTGAGACCGCACAGGGGCTGCTGCCCCTCCACCCGCTCAACTCCCGCGGGGGTACTGCGTGGGGGCGGGCCCCGGTGGCCTCGCATCCCCGTCGGGCCCCGCCCCTCCTGGTGCTGGGGGGGGGGGTGTCTCCAGGTGTGAAGCCCCTTTCTGTTGCTGGGGGGTCTCCAGGTGTGAGGCCTCGCCCTTCCTGGTGCTGGGAGGGGTCTCCAGATGTGAAGCCAGGCCCCTCCCGGTTGGAGGGGTCTCCAGGTGTGAGGCTCTGCCCCCCCCCCCCACCCCGGGAAGGCAAGCTGCGTGGGAGGGTTTGTACGATTTATAAATAAACAGATTTGCCCTTGGGACCCCTCGGCTTATGACTGAAGGGTTGGGGTGGAGTGCGGAGAAATGAGGATTTGGGGTTGGGGTGTAAGCAGGGCCTGTGTGTACTTCTGTGTGTGTCTGGGAGGCAGACGGGTTCAGGCTCTCCAAAGCAATGAAAGGGGTGGCCTGACGCGTGGTAGTGAGCAGCCCGTCCACAAAGGGGTCTAAGCAGAGATCCTGCGCTGGGACCAGCGTGGCTGCGCTGGACGGGAGGGGGCCGTGCAGCCTGGCGCCTCGCCCCGAGGACCCCGAGCTGCTGTCCCGGACGCCGGGCCGACTCGGTGCCGATTCCTGGGCTCTGACCTGAGACCTCTGGGTTCTGAGCTGTGCTGTCGCTTCCGAGCTGGGATCTCCGGGGTCTTGGTTCAGGGTCGGGGCCTCTGGGTTCCAAGCACCTTGGAGGACAGTGTGGGGGGGGAGGGGGCAGGGCTACGGTCTCGTGGGCGGGAGAGAGGGAGGGGAGGCACGTGGCGGCGCCAGGAGGAACCCAGTTTGAGCTGCATGTTTATTGGAGGAGGAGACGGTGGGTGGGGTTTCAGGCTGTGCCGGGAGCGGAGCCGCGGAGGGGGGAGCCGGGAGGCGGGGCCTCACTCGCGGTAGTGCGGCCATTTCCGGAGGAGGGCGTAGAGTTGGTCGCCTGGGGAGAGCGTCTGCTGCACGTCCCGGTGTCCTTTGACCTCGTAGTTGCGGGTCAGGGCGCCCAGCTCCACGCCGCAGCTCAGCAGATTCTGGGCCGCCCTGATGGCCCGGGCCGGGGCACCCGCTCTGGGGGAGGCAAAGGCAGGGGTGAGGCTGGGGCTTCCAGGTAGGGCAGAGGCCGTGTGTGGGGGAGGGAGGGGGGAGGAATGGTTCGATTCAGGGCCCAGATCCGGGCTCTGTCACTCCCTAGCAGTGACTTACCCTCTCTGTACCTCAGTTTCCTCATCCGCGCCTGGCACAGAATAAGCCCCCAGCGAATGGCATAATGGTTATTGCTCATTCTCCCTCCTCTGCCGCAGACCTCTGGGTCCCATCCAAAATAATAGCTGACATTTAACAAGCACTTCTTATGTGCCAAGGCCTGGATTAATAGCTTCTCTATAGATTAATCTTCACCCCAACCCTATGGCTGGAAATGACGCCCACTATCCAAAGGAGGAAAGGAGGCTCAGGAAAAGGTCGCAGAGCTTGTAGGTGGCAGAGCCTCTCCACCACCACCCCCGGCTGCCGCCACCCCCCCGCCCCAGCCTCAGGCCCCGTGGCAGCCCGCTGCCCTGCCCCAGTCACTCACCCATGTAGTTGCCCATGAAGCTGATGCCAATGGATATGGGGTTCCAGGTGGCTCCTGTGTGGGCGCCGTTGGTTTCCCAGCCACGGCCCTTCAATCAGGAAGCTGCGGGGGCAGGGAGAGGGCAATTGATGAGTCAGGGAGGGCTTCCTGGGGGAGGATTCCATCCCCCTCCTCCATTCATCCCCCTGTTCATGCCACTCACACAATTTCCTCCACACCCATCCCCCTTCTCATCCTCTTATTTCCATCCTACTAATAATGGCAGTGGCCATTTGAGTCCCTACATGTGCCAGGCACAGCTCTACATGCACCTTATTTCATCCCACGGTCACTGTGGCCCCCATTTATGGACAGAGAACCAGAGAAGTGAAGCCACCTGCCCAGGGTCACACAGCCAGGCCGGGGCAGAGCCAGAACTTGACTCCTACCCACAAGGTCTTATTCTGTGCTCTTTCCTGCCTCCGGGAGGATTTGTCGAGCTCTGGTTTTGCTGAATCTTCACACAGCTGCCCTCTAAGGTAAGTACTGTTGTTATCCCCATTTTAAGCTGAGGAAGCAGAGACTCAGAAAACGAGGTGACTCATCTAAGGTCAAATCACCCAGAACTCTCCACTGAGAAGCTCTGCCCCCGCCCTGGCCTGCTTCCTGGCCTCTGGGTCCACCTGGGCGATGGGATCAGGGGCTCAAGGGTTAGGGTCACAATCAGACACAGATGTTGGAGCCCCAGCACCTGCCTCCTTGAAGTTTCTAATCCTGGCAGCTGACCCTTAAGGCTCCCTCATTCCCCACGTCTTGACTGAGTGAGCCTGACTTGGCACTTTGGAATTAACGAGGCGGCCACCATCTTGGAGCGGCGGGACCTTTGGCTCAGCCCTCTGACTCATAGGGTCCCTGCGGATGCACAGGATGTTGGAACTCCTGAATCTCAGGTCCTGAATCTGCCACTTAGGAGGCCAGAATCCCAGAATCTGGCTCAAAGGAGACTAGAAAGACCAGAGGGATGCTGGCTGGGATTGCCCGCCCTGGTGCACCGCATGTATTCGTTAGATGGCTACATCTAATTTAAATGTCAACCATCACCACCAGGTGGGTTCAGCTAGGAGCCCCATTTTACAGGGGAAGGAACTGAGGCTGAGAGAGAACGTGACATGACAAGGAAGGGGGATCCAGAACGTTTGAGTCAGACTCTGAATCCTGAAATCTGAGAAACAGACCTCTGTCTGCTTTCCTGTGAGGTGATTTAGACCAGAGGCTGCGGAGCCAGGCTCTGTCCTCATTACATCATGCAAACACTTAGAACCGGACTCTTGGAAACAAAACCCTGAAACTGGAGACTTTGGAGGATAAAACCTTTTTTTTTAAATTTTGTTGTTGAGAATACACACAGCAAAACATATACCAATTCAGCAGTTTCTACACGTACAAATCAGTGACGCTGATTACATTCTTCAAGTTGTACAACTGTTCTCACGCTCCTTTTCCAAGCTGTTCCTCCCCCACTGACATAAATTCACTGCCCCCTAAGCTTCCTAGGTAACCTTTCGAGCTGCTGGTGTCAATTTGATCCCATATAGATGGTTCTTGACTTTAAACCACACAGTATCCCCTTGTTTTGTTCGAACAGCTGCCTCTTGATCTATGTACAGGTTCCCCATGAGCACAATTAAGTGTTCTGGAATTCCCTTTCTTCTCAGTATTATTCATAATTTGTTAAGATCCACCCAGCTGAATGCCTTTGCATAGTCAATAAAACACAGGTAAACATCTTTCTGGTATTCTCTGCTTAATTGTGCTCATGAGAAACCTGTACACAGATCAAGAGGCAGTCGTTCAAGCAGAACAAGGGGTTACGGTGTGGTTTCAAGTCAGGGAAGTTGTGCGTCAGGGATGTATCCTTTCACCATACTTATGCAGTCTGTATGCTGAGCAAATAATCCGAGAAGCTGGACTATATGAAGAAGGACAGGGCATTAGGATTGGAGGAAGACTCATTAACAACCTGCGTTATGCAGATGACACAACCTTGCTGAAAGCAAAGAGGACTTGAAGCACTTACTGATGAAGATCAAAGACTGCAGCCTTCAGAATGAATTACACCTCAATATGAAGAAAACGAAAATCCTCACAACTGGACCAATAAGCAACATTATGATAAACGGAGAAAAGATTGAGGTTGTCAAGGACTTCATTTTACTTGGATCCACAATCAACACCCATGGAAGCAGCAGTCAAGACATCAGATGACACATTGCATTGGGCAAATCTGCTGCAAAAGACCTCTTTAAAGTGATAAAAAGCAAAGATGTCACTTTAAGGACTAAGGTGAACCTGACCCAAGCCATGGTGTTTTCAGTTGCCTCGTACGCATGGGAAAGCTAGACAGTGAATAAGGAAGACCAAAGAATTGATGCCTTTGAATTATGGTGGTGGCAAAGAGTATTGCCTATGCCATGGACTCCCAAAAGAACAAACAAATCTGTCTTGGAAGAAGTACAGCCAGAATGCTCCTCAGAAGCAAGGATGGTGAGATTTCTTCTCATATACTTTGAACATGTTATCAGGAGGGATCAGTCCCTGGAGAAGGACATCATACTTGGTAAAGTAGATGGTCAGCGAAAAAGAGGAAGCCCCTCAATGAGATGGATTGACACAGTGGCTGCAACAATGGTCTCAAGCATGGATGGCGCAGGACCGGGCAGTGTTTCGTTCTGTTGTACATAGGGTGGCTGTGAGTCAGACCAACTCAATGGAACCTAACAGCAACAACATAGATAGTTCTTAAAAGGGCATAATGCTCAAGGCAGACTAGTTAAGCTAAACTATTGTTATATTTTAAGATGACGGGATATTTTTGGTTTAAGGTTTAAAGATTATCTCAGGGCAGTAGTTTCAAGGGTTCATCCAGCCTCCATGGCTCGAGAAAGTCTGGAGTCCATGAGAGTTTGAAATTCTTTTCTACATTTTCTGCCTTTTGATCAAGAATTTTCTATAGAATCTTTGATCAAAATATTCAGTAAGGGTAGCCAGGTACCATCCAGTTTTCTGGTCTCATGGCAAAGGAGGCAGTAGTTCAGGAGGCAATTAGCCACATATTCCATTTCCTCCTCCTATTCCTGACTCTCCTTCTTCCTCTGTTGCTCTAGGTGAATAGAGGGTGCGTTGGATGGCTTTGCTTGCAAGCTTTTAAGATCCCAGGATTACCCAACAAACTAGGAGGTAAACAGAAGCACTAAACATGTTATTAGCCCAGTTAACTGGGATATCGCATGAAACCATGACCCTAAACCTCCAAACCAAGGAACCAAATCCCATGAGGTATTTGGTTGTGCATAAGCAGCCTCAGTAGCTACTCTTTTTTTTTGGGGGGGGGGCATTGTTGTAAATATGTCTGTCTTAGTCATCTAGTGCTGCTCTAACAGAAATACCACAAGTGGATGGCTTTAACAAAGAGAAATTTATTTTGTCACAGTCTAGTAGACTACAAGTCCAAATTCAGGCTGTCAGCTCCAGGGGAAAGCTTTCTCTGTCAGCCCTGGAGGAAGGTCCATGTCATCAGTCTTCCCTTGGTCTGGGAGTTTCTCTGTGCAGGAACCTCAGGTCCAAACGACGCGCTCTGCTCCTGGCACTGCTTTCTTGGTGGTATGAGGTTCCCATGTCTCCTACTCACTTCTCTCTTTTTTATCTCAAAAGACATTGGCTTAAGACACTACCTAATCTTATAGAGCTCATCAATATAACTGCCACTAATCCATCTTATTACATCATAGTGTTAGAGTTTACAACACATAGGGAAATCACATCAGATGATAAAATGGTAAACAAGCATACAATACTGGGAATCATGACCTAGCCAAGTTGACGTATTTTGGGGGGACACAATTCAATCTATGACAATGTCTGTCACGCAACTTTTGCCGATTCAACTTTTTACAGGTGTACGACTTACTGACAACCCTTACGATAACTGGCTCTGCAATCCTACCCTTAATCAGTGTGATTTTCCCATCACTGTAAACCAAAACATAGTACTCCGTAAGCAATACCTTCCCTTTCCCCCTCCCTCCTGGCCCTAGTAACCACTAAGAAAATTTGGTCTCTACCTATTCTTGTCTTTTTATATAAGTGAGGTATACAATATTTGTCCTTTTGTAACCGATTTATTTCCCTCAGCATAATGCCTCCAAGCTCCATTCATATTGTAGCATGTATCAAGACTTCATTTCTCCAACTGTCTGTGAAAGATAAAATCTTGAGTGGGAAGAGCTGTGGATACACTTGGAGGCGTCTGAACTTCTCCAAGATGGGTTTTCAGATTCCCGGGTTCCAGCTTAGTCCTACTGAAGCAGTGTCTAGAGGTGGGGCCTGGGAACCTGCATTTTAAATAAGCGCTCCCCGTGAATCTCATGTTCAGCCAAGTCAGGGAGCCTGTAGTATTCCAGCTTCCCCTCCCACTGTGCAAACCCTTGTGCAGGACCCCAGCCTATGGCATCAAAAGGGAAGCTGGTGGGCGTGGCCCCCAGAGGCAGGTGTAACCACAGCCCACCCCCGTTTGGGCTCTCACCTGCCTTCAGTGTTCTCCCCGCCTGACCGCCAGAGGGCGCCTGTGAAAACTTAAGTCAGCTCACCCTCTCAAGAGTCAAAGCCAAAGTCCTCCCCATGGCTCACAAGACCCTGCACCATTTGGTCCCTACCAACCTCTTCCTCCTCATCATACCACTCCTGCCAGCTACGCTCAGCCATACTCACCCCTGCCCCTCAGACACAACCAGCCCACTCTGGCCTCATAGTCTCTGCACTGGCTGTAAGCCAGAAAACACCAGACCAGTTGCTGGCAAGTCGACTCCAACTCATGACGACCCCACGTGTATCTGAGTAGAACTGCTTCATAGAGTTTTCAAGGCTGTGACTTTTCGGAAGCAGATCACCAGGCCTTTCTTCTGAGGCACCTCTGGGTGGGTTCGAACCACCAACCTTAAAGTTAGTAGTCGAGCCATGAACTGTTCGTGACATCCTGAGACTCCTGCTTGTGCCTGCTTTGCCCCTTGCTTACAACACTCTTCCCTCAGCTCCCAGAGCCAACTCAAAGCCACCCTCTCAGGGGGGCCTTCCCTCACCTCACCCTTCAAGAGGAGCCTGTGTGCGTCCCGTTCTCACTTCTCAGGTCACCATCACGTCACCCTGCTCCTTTTTTCCATCATGGCTTATCATATCTGAATCCATCTTGTTAACTTTGCTTGTTTCTCACCGGTTTTTCCCTACTAGGGCTAGATTCACACCGTCCAAGGCTATGTCCCCACCCCAGTGTCCAGCATGGGGCCTGTACACAACAGGTGCTTAGTAGCAACAAGTCCTGTATTTGGGGCCTCCTACTATATGCTAGAGTGCCTGGGTGGTGCAAACAGTTAAGTACTCAACTGCTAACTGAAAGGTGAGAGGTTCAAGTCCACCCAGAGGGGCTTTGGAAGAAAGTCCTGGTGCTCTACTTCCCAAAAAACATCAGCCATTGAAAACCCTATGGAGCACAGTTCTACTCTGACACATGGGGTCACTGTGAGCTGAAGTCACCTTGACGAAAACTGGTTGTGGTACTGTATGTCAGGCGGTGTCTAAGTGCTTTGCATGAACCGACCCATTTAATGACCAGGTAGGCCACCATCCTAGGGACTTTGCATAGGAGGGAGCTGAAGCTGAGAGAGGGTGAGTGACCTGTCAGGTCTCAGCTAGCAATCAGCTGAGCTGGGGCTGGAGCCCGGCCCACACTTAATCAGCCTGGTTTTCTGCCTCCTGACAAAGGCGTCAGGGGACACCTTTGAGCATCTTAGGCGAAACCTGCTCCTTCCATGCACACCTGTGTTCATTGCAGCATTATTCACAATAGCAAAAAAAATAGATACAACCTGAGTGCCCATCAAGGGATGAATGGAAAAGCAAAATGTGGTACGTACATACAATGGTGTAAAAATGGCATGGCAGGGGGCGTCTGATCGCCTCTAAATTCACAAGGGGGAAGGAGAATCAAGATCAACAGCCCAGGGCTGATTCCTGTGAGGTGGAGGTCAGACATTCCTTCTCTCTCTACCATCTTTACCAATTTTGACACCAACCGTCCCTCCCACGGCACTCTCCACTTCTCTGTTGGGTTCGATAATCTGTTGCAATGGCCACACAGAGCTCACCGACAATACTCATGATTATGGGGTTTATTAGGGAATTAACAGGTTACAATTCAGGATCGGAAACAACTCAGGATATAGTTCTTCAATCAAGACGGCCTCTTCTCAGATGTGTCTGCAGGCAGGCCTGTCTCTGGCCATTGGCCTTTTGGCTACTTGGCCTGGCCTCTGCCCTGGTCGGGCAAGTGTTACAAAGCTCTTTAGCTCTGCCAGTAAGTGCCCAGAGGCACCCCACTCCACTAGTAAGCATCAACACAAAGGTGCTCTGCTCTCTTGCTCTGCTCCATGGGTTGGCAAGCCTAGCTCTGCTAAGCACCTGGAGGCACCATACTCTGCCAGCAAACCTCAACCTGAAGGCGCTCAGCTCTCTCATTCCATAGGCTGGCACACGTGTCTCCTGGGTCTGCTGCCTTTGCTGCTGCTTCTTGCTGTCTTTCACTGTCTTCAGTGTTACAGCTCACTCTGTCTCCTGAGTCTAGAAGGCTCCTAGCGCAGGGACCCTGGGTCCAAAGGATGTGTTCCACTTTTGGCTCTTCTTTTTTCATTCAGTGAGGTCCCCCCTCAGCTTTTGAATTGGCTCTCTTTTAAGCCTAGCAGGTTGGTAAAACTGACCAATCCTTCATTAGAGTTCCATACATCTTATTTGCATGATCCCACCACCACAAGGTGCCATGCACCTTATTTACATTATTAGCAAGCTATCCAGTTCCCTTGGTGGGCCACAAGCACCTCATTTGTATAGTCCCACCCAGTGCATTTGGTGGGAGTAACAAAAACTATGGCTAGAAGGGCCATATTAAGTATATAATTCAATGTACTGCAAATGGAATACAACACAACCATAAAGAACAATGATGAGTCCGTGAAACGTATGACATGGGTGGACCTGGAGGATGTAATGCTAAGTGAAATAAATCAATCACATAAGGACAAAATTGTATGATGCCACTTTTATAAGAATATAAGAATAGATATACATAAAGAGACCAGTGTTCACTAGTGGTTCCCATAGAAGGGTTGGAGGGGAGGGGGAATCACACTCTAGATCATAGCTATGTGTTATTTTGGGTGAGGGGAAAAGTGGCACCGAATGTGGGTGCAGTGAGCACAGCTTGGCCAAAGTAAATGATGTCGCTGAGAAGCACTCAAGAGAATAGGATACTTGAACTAAAGAATTTGACATAATTTTGCAACAGCAACAGTGACCAAAAACAAGTGTATGGTCACATATGTATGTGTATAGGCATATAGATATATAGGTAGGTACAGGTGTACACACGTGTGCACAGATAGAAATATCTATATATACGTGTAAGTACAGATACGTGTGTGCAGGCACATATATTCGTAGAAGACACAATTACAGATATTTCTCACACGTAACCAAACCCCTTGCAAGACTGGTTTTCTAGGTTTGAAGGCTTAGAACCTTAGTCTCATGGGACAACTCAGTCAATTGGCATAACTTCACCAAGTTCATGTATGCATCCTAGTGAAGTGAGTAGTGTCTGGGTTCTTAAAAGCTTGTGAGGGGCACCTAAGAGACAGTCATTGGTCTCTGCTTATTAGAAATGAAAGAGTAAGAAGGAAATCAAAGTCTCAGAGAAGAAACAAGTCTACAGGGCTAATAGCCTGCACGAACCATGGCCTCATCTATCATGAGACCAGAAAAACTAGTTGGTGCCTGGCTACCACTGCTGACCATTCTAACCAGGGACACAATAGATGGTCCTGGATAGAATCGAATAAAAATGAGAGGAGAAAAAAAGAAACGCAAATTCTTTTTTCTTCTTTCTTTTCTTTCTTTTTTTTTTTTTATTGTACTTTAGAGGAAGGTTTACAGAACAAATCACTTCTCATTAAACAGTACACATATTGTTTTACGACAATGGTTAACAACGCCATGACATGTCAACACTGTCCCTTCTCAACCTTGGATTCCCTATTACCAGCTTTCCTGTCCCCTCCTGCCTTCTAGTCCGTGTCCCTGGACTGTTGTGCCCCATTCGTCTCGTTTTGTTTTGTGGGGCTGTCTAATCTTTGGCTGAAGGGTGAACCTTGGGAGTGACTTCATTACTGAGCTGAAAGGGCGTCCTGGGGCCATACTCTCGGGGTTTCTCCAGTCTCTGTCAAAAACACAAATTCTTAAAAAAAAAAAAATGTCTAGACTTACTGTACCAGTTGAGCCAAGAGGCCTCTCTGTGATTTATCACCCTGAGATACTCTTTAAACATTGAATGGACACTATCCCCTGAGATCATGTTTTAGAAAATAACAGTGGCACACAAAATAAGGGATATTACCCGTACATACACTGCGCTGCTTAAAAGCGATCAGTATGAGACCAAAAGGTCAAAAATTACTGAAAAGCAAAGTTGAGACGCTAAGGGGGTAGGGAAACCAGAGCACTGGAAAGGGGACAACCAAAAACACAGAGAACGTTGATACGTTGTGACAAGTGTAAGTAATGTCAGTGAACAATTTGTATAGAAATTGTCAAAAGGGAGCTCAACTCACTACCTAAAACACAAAAACACACACTCAAAAAAATGTTTTTAAAGCAAGTAAACCCCTGCTCCTTCCTCTGGGGGACAAAGCTGGGACTTTAGGCCCTTGCCCACCTAGGGGGCCTTTGTACTGCCTGCATATTCCTCGTCTTTTGTGGCCACCCTGGGGAGAAACTAAGGTCTCTGGAGGTTGAATGAACTTCCCAGAGTGCCACTTTGGCGGCTCCAGAACCAGACCTAGACCCGGGTTCTGCTGCCCCCCAGACAGCACACCTTCCCCTGCGCCTGACGCCGCCCAGCCTGCGGCCCTTACCTGGGCCTGCGGCCTCCGCACTCACTTGTAGCCCACGCCGCACCACCCTTTCTCCCGCATGTGGTAATGCTGCACGTTCCGGGCCTGCTGCTGGCACAAGTCTGGAGTGTCGCAGGTGGTCCTCGCCGTGTGCGACACTGTCAGGCGCTGCCCGCACTCGGACGCCGTGGCCCCGTACTCGCTCCAGGTTTCCCCACCCTGAGCCGCCCCTAGGGCGAAGAGGGCGAGGAGGGTGCAGGTGAGCAGCGCACAGTGGCCGGACCTGACGGGCAGGGCGCACAGAGATGGTCAGGAGCGCGCGGCTGGCCTGACGGCCCTTATCTGCTGGGGTGGAGCGGCCGGCCGCGGGGGGTTGGGGGAGTGGAGGGAGAGTCTTGCTTCACACTCTGGCGGTGCTTCTGGATCAGATCACCCTGGTACCAGACTCAGCTTCCTTCTCTGGCAGGGCCAGAACAGGATGTGGTGGGGTCAGATCTGGGTGTGGGGGCAGGGAGGAGGCCACGAAAATGCCAGGGGGCAGCTCACCCACGGTGGGAATGGAGGGGAGGAGCGCCCAGGCCTCTCATCACTTTGCCCTGTGGTTTCTAGAAGCCCCAGGGCCTGGATTCCAGTCCCGGATTGTCCCTCCTTTCAGTGTGGCGTTGGACAATTACCAGGAACTTACCACAGAGACAGGCTCAGGGCGTTGGGACATCCCCTTCTCTTTCCTAGGGGAACTAAGGTGACAATGGCTCCCATTTTTAAACACTTCTGACAGGTCCAAGCCCATTGTCATTTAACCCTTGCGGCAAACTGAAGAGGTGAGGATTGGGAAGGCGATTTCACAGCTGGGAGAGGAGAAGTCACGCGCTGAGGTGGGGGAGGCAGTAAAGCCTGGTGGTCCAGAGCCAGGACTCAGAGCCAGGCTGCCTGTCTTTGAATCTGGCCACTTTGTCCTGTGTGAGCTCCTTTAAATGACTTAACTTTTTGTGCCTCAGTCTCCCCACCTGCATAATAGTAAAGCACCCAACTCACAGGGTTGATGTTTGGATTTAAGGGTTGACAAGGGTAGGGTCACGCAGTGCAACATCAGCACCTCTAGGACTCAAACTCAGGTCTGTCCTTGGTATTAAGCAACGTACTTTACAGGGATGCCACTAGCGGTGCCATTCTGCAGTGGAGGGAAACAGGTCAGGAGAGGGACAGCCACTTGCTCAGGGCCACCACGCGTGTTGGATCACCTATTGGGGTAGAGGGCTTTCCTGGGGCTTCTGCTCTGTGCAGCCCCCTTTCCCAATCCTTCCTAGAGCATCATGATGAACACAGAGCCCTAAGAGTCCCAGCTCAGGGAAGACTGGTTTGTTCTTCCTCTTTTCTTTCTACTTCAGTGGATTAAAGAAAATGACAAAAGTAACAAGTTGAATTGAGACAAAATGCTAATCCCCTGTGTCCCACCCCTCCAGCCCCACCCACCTGAGGTAACAAATGAGAACAGTGTGGTATGTTTGCTTCCACCATATTTTCTGCGATCATGTAGATCATGCTCATAATACCACGGAATGGTGCACCAGGCATCTCTAAGCAGTTTCCATAAACATCTCATCACATGCCCTCAACAAACTTGTGAGGTAGAAGTTATTATTCATCCCCCTTTACACTCGAGGAGACATCCCTCGTGTGTTATTGTTGGCGTATAGACCTGTCTAATCTTTGGCTGAAGGGTGAACCTCAGGAGTGACTTCAGTACTGAGGTAAAAGAGTGTCCGGGTCCATACTCTTGGGGTTTCTCCAGTCTCTGTCAGACCAGGAAGCCTCGTCTTTTTTTTTTTCTTTCTTTCTTTGTAAATTGGAATTTTGTTCTACGTTTTTCTCCTGCTCTGACCGAGACCCTCCGTTGTGATCTCTGCCAGAGCAGTTGATGGTGGTAACGGGGCACCATCTAGTCGTTCTGGGCTCAATCTGGTGGAAGGCTGTGGTAGCTGCGTGGAGCATTTATTAATTATAGATGTAGACTTTCTGGGTCAAATTAATTTGAAACGTTAATAGATATTACCAGATTGCTTTCCTCCAAAAGGCTGTTAACAATTCACATTTCCACCAGTAACGTATATGCGGACCCCCGGCCCTTTCCAAGAAGTGGGTGTTAAAGATTCCTTAAATTTATTGGTAGAAAGTGATATTTCATTGTAATTTTTATTGACTTTTTTTTTTACCATACAGGAGATTGAGTATTTTTCTATGCTTGCTGCCCATTTTGATTTGCTCATCACTTGCCTATTTATATCCATTGTCCTTTTTTTGCTGTTGGTTGGTTTGCCTTTTTGTTATTAATTTGCAAAATGAAAAAAAAAAAAAGAGTCCCATAACTGGTATTTTTGAGTTGTTGGGTACATACATTACAATATTTTGTGTGTCTCAGATATTTTTAAAAGCATTAAAGTAAAATGTACACATAGAAAAATGCACAAATCATAAGTGGAGAGCTCTATTAATTTTTACTAAGTGAATACACCAATGTATTCAGCACCCAGGTCAATACATAGAGCAACACTTTAAATTTTCATAGATATTGCCAAATATCATTCCGAAAGATTTTAGTGTTTATTTTCCCCAGCAATGTAGTCAGTTTTAAAATGCTTCACCAGTTCAAGGGATGGTATCTCATTATTGTTCCGTTTGCATTTCCCTGAGAATAGAGAGGTGATTTTTTGTTGGTTTTTTGCAAATTTATGGCTGATTGCATTTCTCTTCGGTTAACTGTCTGTCTCCTTTCACTATTTGCTGTTGCGCTGTTGTATGCTAGTGAGATTAACCCTGTGTCTGTCAAATGTGTTGAAAACCTTTCCCTCCTAATCCTGTTTTTAAAATCTATTTTTCTATTATCTTTTCTGTTTCCCGTATCGCCTTAAGAAAGTCCTTTCCACCTCAAGTTTATAAAACTTTTCTTCTATTAAAAATATTGTTATTTTACCATTCGATCCAGCCATCCCACTCCTAGGAATATATCCTAGAGAAATAAGAGTCGTCACTCAAATAGACATATGCACACCTGTGTTCATGGCAGCATTGTTCACAACAGCAAAACGATGGAAACAACCTAGATGCCCATCAACAGATGAATGGATAAACAAA